CCCTAAATCCCCTGTCTAAACACGAGGGTCAGTATCAGCTGGTTCGGCAGATTCTTATGAGATCTAATGTTTCCCCAAGCTCTAGTTTTGCTTTAATATCCAATTCTTGCTTCATTTATCTACCCACCCTGCCTCCTTGGAGTTTCCTTCTCTCCCTCATCCACCCCTTCTTCTTCATTGTCAACCTCTCCCTTTCAGCTGGCTCCTTGCCATCAAAACTCATTTTCCTTCTTGAAAAAACCCTTGTCTCATGTACCCTCCCTCCTTCATCTTTTCTCTCTCCTCCCCATCAGAGCTCAAGTTCTTGAAGCTCTGTCTACATTTGTTATAACATTTTCAGCTTACATACATGACCGAACTCACCAAAGCCTGCTTTCTGTTCCTTCTGTACTCCATTCAGTTACTCTTGCTTCCTTACTGATAGCTCAGAGGGCAACTCTTAGCATGACCCTATCACACTGTGGGCCACACACTACATTTTGAAGCCCTCTCCTCCCCTGGCATCTGCAACAGTGTTTTCCTGGCACCCTCACCTCTCTCTGATCACTCCCTTTCCATCTTCTCTATGCCCTCCTCTTTCCCAGTCTGTCTTGTAAAGACCAGTCCTCCTGAGGCTCTGTTCCAGCCACTTCCCTTCTCCCTGGTTACTCCCTGGGTGGCAGCATCCAACCCTCTACCCTTTAGTCTTCATAGCACTGTGGACAACAAAATGAACAGTTTATATAAACAATGACAGCTTTCTTGACCTTTTGTTTTCCACAGAGCTGCCAAATTTAATAAGGTTAATGACATTGCCAGAAGGTTATGTCGCGGTCAGAAACAGGAGTGCTATTTTGTGCCAGGAGAAACAGAGACTCATATTCAACCAATATTGATGGGGAACACCCGTTATGAGTTTGGATCATTATATATGTTATTTTATTTGATATTCTCAATAACCCTGTGAGGTGACTATCATGACCCCTCTTTTGCAGATGGAGAAACAGAAACTTACCCAAGATCACACAGCTGGCTGGTAAGTGAAAAAACTGGAATTTGAATCTGGGTCCCCATCTGTGTTGAGGTTTTCCCTAACTGTAAGTCCTGCACCATAATCAGGGCAGCTTTCGTGAGCCTGTAGAAAACTATCACCTTCATATGGAAAGACCAGAGGTGGTTTGTCTTGTATAATAAGCAGAGAATTCTTAAAAATCTCATTTCAAAGACATATGGATGTGTGTCTTGCTGTACGATAATCGGTGTTATGGAAAAGTCATTCCATTGCTAAGTGTTCCACATTTTTGTAAAATGCCAGACTTTCCATCCAAACAAAACAAAGCTACATGGACTATGGAATCAGCCTCTCTCCAGATTGCCATAATAGCAGCTCTAGAGGAAGTTGTTAGGATTTTTTTTCAGACTGTTGTTATTTCAGCCACAAAACAATTATGCTTTAAAAATCTATACTTATTAGTAGCATTCCTTGGGGAGGGAAGAAGCCCTCGTTAGGTGGGCATAATGTTGGATTAACCATGAAGAAGTGAAGACCTCACTCCATGAGCATTCTCTGATCCTAGCAGGAACCGAGAGTAACTTCAAGGGGCTCATGTCTCTTGTGCCCACTGAAAAACATTTAAAAAGAAAGAGACAAATACAGATCTCCTTCCATTAAGGCAGGGTGGCAAGAAGGCAGCCCATGATCGGACTGGCAGGCAATGTGTTGTTTGGCCCATGGGGTATTTTTTTTTTAGAAATGGATTCAGTTGTTGTAAGGCTTGGTCTATTTCACATGGAAAGCTGGATTTCTGGCTTTTCTCAAAGGGCGGCTACATTCTTCTGGAGCCAAGCGTGACTGCCCCCGTGAAACAGGCCAGGGCTCTCCAGTTCGCCTTAGACCCTAAATGCCAGTTCGTTCTTTTATGTTACCTGCCTGGCTGTTCTAGAAATTCGAGTTTATGCTTCTTCTTTAAATATTTTAAAATTCAGGCTTTCATAAACCTAGAGAGTAAGTGCTTCTCATCAAAATCAAGGCCTCACTGGTGTGCCCAGTATCGTCTTCCTTCCCTCTTTCTGCAAAGATTTGTTGAAGAACTATTCTGCACCACGCGCAGGAACTGTTGCAGTGAAGGGGACGTCATCATCGTCACCATCATCATCATCAATTGGCAGTTTGAGAGCTTTCTCTGTGCCAAGTATTGTCAGATATCTAAACACACATTTAATCCTTATAAAACTCCCAGTGCTGTAGGGCCTCTTATTATCACCATTTGTAGCTGTGATGCTGGAATTCAGAAGTTTGCCCAGGCTCACACAGCCGGGAAGTGGTGAAGCCAGAAGTTGGGTGTGGGGAACTCTGACTAATGAGCCCAGGTTCTTAACCCTCCACATTGCTGAAGAGTGGATGGAGCTCACAGTCTAAGGGAGATGCCTGCTCATAAGGCTTGTCACCGTGGGGGCAGAGAGGGCATCTGACTCTGATTCATTTGTTGGAGTCGACATTTCTTCTGTTTGGTCAGAAAGCCTCACCAGGGAGACCAGGCTTAATAGGCTTATCTTAAATACTCTGCATGGAGTTGAGTCTTTCATACTCACTATAAGATCATGAAGATTTGCTGTATGTGCTGTGTGTGCACGTCTGAGAGTACAGGTTCTGTGTGTGTTTCAACCAAGAAATGCAAAACTTTTCGGAGGCCTCCGAGGCACTATCCACCTCCTAAAAAATTTTCTCTAGATTTTGTTCTTAACATCTCCACCAGGTTTCATTTAGCTGTTCTTCCAAAGAGGCTTTTTTTTTTTTTTGAGACAGAGTCTTGCTCTGTCATCCAGGCTGGAGTGCAGTGGCGCTATCTCTACTTACTGCAAGCTCCGCCTCCCGGGTTCACACCACTCTCCTGCCTCAGCCTCCAAGTAGCTGGGACTACAGGCATCCGCCACCACGCCTGGTACATTTTTTTGTATTTTTAGTAGAGACGGGGTTTCACCACATTAGCTAGGATGGTCTTGATCTCCTGACCTCGTGATCCGCCCGCCTCAGCCTCCCAAAGTGCTGGGATTATAGGTGTGAGCCACCGCGCCCGGTCCCAAAGAGGCTTTTTATACTGAGAGTGATCAGGACAAAAGTGATACCCCATTGATCTTTGTATTTCCACGTGCACTCAGCACAGTGCTTCTCTCTACAGTCTTCTTGAGGGAACAAAAGAAACCATCAGAAGGATGAGGGTGCCGTCAGATTCGAGGAAGGCTTGGCTGTGTCTGTGAGATGGAGACAGACAGCTGGGCACAAAGGCAGTATCTGAAGGAGCTTCACAGAAATTCCCAAGAGACCCACAAATGCTGGGTCCTTAGCAAGAAGCAGTCTACCCTCCCATCTGGCTGGGGTCTGTACATTTCAGTGTTTAACTCTGTGGTTTGGTTGCCTTTTGGGACCAATAGTGCTGGCAAGGCACATTTTTCTGCCCCTCTACTTTAATCCATCAATACTTTTTGGCAAAAAGAAGCTGTGGCTTCAGGATGTTTTTCATATTTTTTTAAGAAGCTTTTTCTTATTACCTTTAGGGATTGGTCAAATAATCCCCTTAGTTATTTTCATGATAATTACCGAAAATTTCCTCAAAATAGGCACTGGTTTTGAGCTATGAAATGTTCAGAAGAGGGAAAACAAAGTAAAAAAACAACCTTTAACCCTTCTATTTAAAGAACACAATAGAGATTGTTTTTTCTTTATACACATGTCCAATCAGCCATAGAGGCAGGCCACAGGGGGACGGACTTCCAGGCTCTGCGCTGCCCCTGGGGAAGGAGTGGCAGGGACCCTACAGAATAGTTACGGTCCTGAGTGGAGATTCTTCTTACAGCTGGCCCCAATGACAAAAATCTGTAGTTGGCCACCCAATGCTGGCAGAGAATAAAACCTGGCATGAGGCCAGGAGGGGGCTGCTTTCTGTATGGTTAAAACTTTACAAATAGTGGCCAGAACAGTGCAGCTTCTCAGGCAACTCCTGTGGAGAAGCACATGCCTCTCATTTTTGTAGGGCTCTGTGGATTAATGCGCTTTCACATCGCCCCTCACTACCTTGCTCAATCTTCCCAGCAACCCATTTTACTTACAGATACCAAGGGCCCCAGAGGTCACAAGACCGGCTCAAGGCTGTACGGCCAGGACGTTTCAGTCCGAGGACTGGAAGGTGGGCTTTCTGATTCTCAACCTTGCACCTTTTTGCTACACCACAGGCTGTTAATTTCCAAATTGAGTGGAAATCTATAACCACCCACTTCTCCTTGCCCTGTGTGTATTCTGGCATTCAGGGAATCTGTTGAAAAGAAGGGCTTGAGTGTTCTAAGACGAGGGGAATGCTTTGGTAAGTCTGGGAGGATCTGGTGAAAAACTTGCAAGCCAGCAAAAATGTTTTCACACTAAGAGGGACTGTGTCTTTTTCATTTTTAGTTCCCCAGTGTCCAGCTCCATGCCTGGCACCTAACTACCCTCCATAAATGTTTGTTGATTTGAAACCTGTATTTTAAATCCATCTGCAAGACTGGATTAACCCAAAGGGCAACTTTTAGTGCTGACTATGCATACTTCATTTTTTAGCTAAATTCCTTCCTTAGTTGAGGGTCCTTCCTGGGCAAACTTTCCATTTCTGGAAATCGAATTTCTGGACAGTAGGCTGATAGAGAAGGTTTGGATCACAGGTTGCTCTGGAGAGGTAGTGGTGTTTGCTTTTCTTAGCCACTCTGTTGCAGAACACTATGTTATGGTGACAGAACGCTTGCAAATACTTAGCCAAGCTTAAGACATGCCATGATAAGGAAGGTCCACCACAAACACAAATAGCTATGTAGAAGCCACCACCTTGCAGCTCATGAATTTGTGCTGGGTGTGTTATTTACCCCAGCCATTAACTAAAGATTCAAACACTGTTGGGTAAAAAGACATTTATGTGTGTGACCTGACTTTGATGTATGAATGCTGGTCAGTTACTTAACTTGCCATCACTTTTGGTACTTTTTAATGATGCTTCTCCATTAGCAAAATGAAAGTGTTTTATTTAGAAGGAAAACATTCATTCAATCACATTCATTTGGCCTATGTGCCAAGGACTTTGCTTGTGAACTGCAGTCTTGAACACTTCCTGGTGGAAGAACTTAGCCCAGGCTTTCAGGAGTATCCACAGAAAGCTGGTGTCCCAGTGAAAAGGCTGTAGGGGAAAAGTTCCACTGGGACCTTGGAAACATCTCTGCCCGGCACCAGGCACACCCATCTGCATGGAATGCATATGTCAGTGGATTGCACACAGATTCTGGTTTGCCAACTCAGGGGCTCCTCCCAATGCCCTGCCAAACAAACACTGGGGACTTAACTTCTGGATGTGATGATAAATATCAGTCGCCAGTAACCTGTCTGCATGCAAGACTGGGCAGTGACAAGCACGATGTGCTTACTGCCCAAGATTTTGCTTTGATTTTGTTTTACTGCCCAAGATCTGAACATTTTTGCAAACATAGCAGCTTCTACCTCTGCTGCATTGACATTATGTTTGGACTGGTTCATAATCTTCAGTACTCCTAAAAGTCCCTTTAATGTAAATAAAAAGGAAAGCAGACCTGTTCCTGGGAGTCTCCCTTCCCACCTCTCTTCATCTGTCAAACATGCATAATGGAAAAACCATGTAGCCCTGGCTCTGGGCCAGAATAAACAATCTGGAAATACTCTATAAACCTAGCTGCTGCACCGGAGGACAGAGGCCTCGCTTTATGACCTCCGAGATGGTTAACCATATACAAAATAACAAAAGCTCACCACCATCTTGCAGTGTATTTTGATGCTGGGCTGGCTCTGGCATTCCTTTCCTTGATCCGAGTGTATGCACACTCCGCGCTGACCAGAGCCCTCTTCCCGTAACAATCTGCGCTTGTTTTAACCTGGTCCAGCAGAGACTATGCACACCAAATGAATGCTAGTTTAATAATAACCAAAAGACGGGCCAAAGTTTACCACCAAAAAAAAAAAAAAAAAAAAGGCATGGTCAAAAGACGCATCAACTCTACAGCTTCAGGGGCGCTGAGGGGTGATCAACTGAGAGGCCTTGCTGTTTCAAGAAGCACGCTGTCTAAGAAACTGACTCACTCATATCATGTTAGATTACAGCCAGAGATTTCCAGCACATGGGGATAAAGCACACTTTCTCAGGCAACAGGTGTGCTGAGAGTCACAGTCAAGTGGAGCACTCGGCAGTGGGAGAGGAAGTACCGTCGGTGTACTCCCCAGGGTTGGCAAACGCCTGCCACCTCCATTCCCATACAGCCCTGCACCACGCTGGCCGCTCCCAAAACTGTGTGAACATGATGCTTGTCACAGATAGAGTAAACTCATTTCCTGAATTATAGGGGAGGCCACACAGTTCAAAGAGATGAAATACAACTGCAGGGCCGCCGGACTCCCTAGGGCTGCCTCCAACGGAAATGAATGTGTGTCACTGCGGCTCACAGTGATACGCTCTGGGCTGGCCGGGCCAGCGCTGCATTTGCCACTCAGATATGATCGATGGCATGTTAAGACCACCTTCCTGGTCATATGGCCATTAAGGGAGAAAAGAACAAAAAGCACTTCATGGCTGCCTTGGTGCTGAGGGTTGATAATGTAAACAGAAAACTTTTGGGGTGTGTTTTGCAGCCTTTTATTCAGATCTAGAAATATAAATAATTAAGAATAACTTGAGATCAGTTGGACTTTCAAGAGAATCTTTGATCTATGTAGTCAAGTAAAAGTTCATGATTTACTTTTTTGTTTTAAACAAATGCAGAAACCGCCAGGTTCCTTTGATGAAAGAGAATGAAGGGTTTCTAATGCACACACTTTGCTTAGATTTTTGAAAGCAGGAACACAGTAAAAGGAACCAGGAAGAGAAAGTATTAGCCTGTGGGTCGCTGAGGGCTCACCAAGACCAGGGCACTGGGCCCCTGTGGAATGGAAATCAGCCCGGAGGAGGAACGCATTTCCTAACCCCATGGAATTGGAGATGAGGGCAGCTCGTTGGACGGGCTTCTAGGTTATTGCCTGGGGGATCCAACTTCACACTACTTATGTCAGAATCTGCCGAAATTGCTAGAGGGGGTGGGCGGTGGTGATAGTTATTTTCTTGCCTGGATTATTTTTGCTTAGTCATCAGTGCTGTACTGAGCACCTACTAAGCTCAATGCTTGATTCCAGGAAATAAGAGAAATAAAATAAAATAAAAGCTAAAAACACAGGCTCTTTCTTCCAGAAGGAGTAAACAATAAAGGGAGAAGCAAATGTGCAATCCTTCCAACAGCTTCCTGGGCAATCTGGAGATCTGTTTCACTGTGGATGGGAAGGATGCTCCTCACAGTGGGGCATCACAGGAGGGAGAAGAAAGGGGGATCACAAGGGGGTGGCGTTGATGGCCGCAGATGTCCACCTTTCATGTCCTTCTCCAGGGCCAGGTGAACACCTTGCCGGACAAACTTAATGTGCAACAAATCACCGGAAGAGCCTGACACTTGCAGGGGTTTCGGTTCTGAGTTGCTGATAGCATCCCAGCTTCTGTTGATGTGGGAGCCTTCCAACCTCACCCTCAGATCCTAACGCCTAGACTTGAACATGTCAGGGCTAGAGGAGATGGCCAAGCTCAACTCCTCCTGGGCCTGACACACACGCTGGGGGTAATGAGTCCTGGGGCAGCTTCGGTTCCCTCCACAACCGCCCCCTGAAGTCAGCGGCTCCGGCTTCCTAACGCCCTGCTGCCTGGATTTACCAGATGAAGGGCAAGTTGCTCTGTTTCTTTTCTCCCCAAGTTCGGCATCATGGCCCAGACCATTAAAAAGCTGACATACTTGTTTGAAAGTATATGCTACGGTAAATATACGTATGTGTTTTCCTCAGCACAGTTTTTACCATTAAAATACTGGCTTATATATGAGGATGGCAATAAAAGAAGGATTTATTTTCACAACAACAATTGAACCAAATATTTCTGTTTAAAAATATCTACTTCTAAAAAAAAAAACTTATTGGAAGAATGACTATGTCTTTATCAACAAAATGTATCTCTTAAAATATACCTTTGATTAATGTGGTTTTTTTTTTTGAGAAATGTGTTTTTATTACTTTTGTTGCTTTATTTGAAATCGTATTATGAAGGCCAGAACCAATGACTGATAAAGATATCCTGATCAAACAGGTTTTTCATCTGGATAAAGAAGATCAAGAGAAAAGCTAATGCAGCAGTTCTAAATTCTTTTGGTATCTGACAATTTCATAAGCTCTGTTTTTGCTTTATGGACAGGATTCTTTTTCTCTACTCCTCATAGTCTGTATGGCATTTGCAGGCCTAGGTTACTTCTCTTTCTCCCTCTCTTACACACACACACACACACACACACACACACACACTCCTCCTTTGACAGGGAGGAGGCCCTCTCCTGAAATCACACTTCATTACCTACATCTAGCCCTGATGATGTCAAAGCCAACTGCTGACACCCGTCACTCTGGGCACTCCACAGAGGGTGATATGGCCACAGGACAGTTTCTTGTCTCATTTTTTCATGTTGGTCTATTTTTTTTTTCTTCAGGGTTTCATATAGATCAAGCTACCTATCGAGATCCACAAAGGATCATCAGAAAGCCCTAGGGCAGTTTATAAGCTTTGAGCTTTAAACCTTAGTTCTCAGAGAAAAATAATTTACAATGTAAACATTTATTTTTCTGGTTGTGATGTACACATATAAACATACTGTATACATGATGTACAGATATACGTATATACTTACCTATATGTACATAGACACATATGCAAATACATAGTAAAGTTTTTAGGAAACTTAGGAAAACAAGAGTATAAAATAACTTTTAATCAAGCCACAGTTATTACTGTAGTAGTACATTTCCTTCTAGTCTTTTTCTTATTTATGCCTATTCATTGTAAAACACATCTGTGCCATATTGTTTATGTAGTTTTATCATCTTTAAAACTTAACTAACCATGACCATTTCTCCTATATCTTTAATTATTACCAATTACATTTTGCAATATGTTTTTACATGCTCCATTTTATAGATGCCTTAAAGGTCATATAACCATCTGCTACTGTTAGATGACTGGGTTTTCTGTTTCTATGACTCTCAATAATATGAAATGCACATCCTTGTTCACAAGTGATCATGTGCCTTTTTGCTTGTTTCCCTAAGATCAATGGCAGCTTTAGATAATGAGCAGTAAATTTTCCTCTTACAGCTAAGGACTTCAATTATGCCAACTCTAAGATACAACTTATCTTCTATTGTCAGAGATCCTGAAATTTTAAGACATTTATTTTATTGTTACATGAAATCAATCTATCACCTACCTTGCTAAAGTTTCAAAATGCACAGGGCCTTTTGAAAATCCTGCATCTCTTGACTGTGAGAATGTAAAGGAGTACAGCATGCCCTTAATATGGGAGTATGGTTGCTCGTAAAACATTTAGTGCACCAGAAGTTCTTAGTAACTTACACCACATGATGACTATAATCACAATGATGAAATCTTTTCTCATTTTTTGATTCTATGAACTGGGTACTCAGATCGGGCTATCACGGAACTTAGTATTTTTATAGTTAATTCAAAATGCATTTTCTTTAACAGAATATATCTTATCGCATTTTTTGTTTTAACATTATATTTGTCACAATCATCAGCCTCGATGAGTGAACCAATGGTGAGTCTCAAGAGCCAACAACCTGGATGTTCTCTCTGGAATGTTAAACATGGGGGAATTTTGATAAACCCTTGAAGGGCTGTGAATGAAGTAGCTGTTCATGGAGACTGAACGTGTAGATAAGTGAGATATTTAACCTTCTGCCCAGGCATTAAGAAGTTAGGTTAATAGGAGGTGCTACTCAAAATAACCATTCCCAAGTCAGGAAAGTGTGAAATGAAGTTCCAAGGATGCTGTCAATTCCACTGGGAGAGTTTGCAATGTTACTTTAAAATTAAATGTACTTTATCTGGGCAACCTGTAGCCCACTGGTAGTACTTGGTCTTAGGGGAATGCAAATTGACAGCCCTACCTCTTCCTTCTCTCCCTGTTAAAAATCAGATTTGCAACTTCACACTAAATAAGATAGTGTGAATATCTAAAAACATCCCAATTGCTTAACCAGGCAAAACCCTAAACAAAAATGAGATGAAACTGCAACCTTCCCATTTGTATGGGAGGTCCATTTGTTTTGGAAAGTTTGAAATTGACAAGCTAATGTCAGTAGACACCAGGACCATGTGAGGGAAAAATCCCTGGGTATCATGGCTATGACTTTAAAAAGCAGGGGTAGGCCGGGTGCGGTGGCTCATGCCTGTAATCCCAGCACTTTGAGAGGCCGAGGCGGTGGATCAGTTGAGGTCGGGAATTTGAGACCAGCTTGGCCAACATGGCAAAACCTCGTCTCCACTAAAAATATAAAAATTAGCCGGGCATGGTGGTGCATGCCTGTAATCCCAGCCACTCAGGAGGCTGAGGCATGAGAATTGCTTGAACCCAGCCGGGAGGCAGAGGTTGCAGTGAGCCGAGTTCACGCCACCGCACTCCAGCGACATAGCGAGACTCCTTCCCCGCTCCCCCCCGCCAAAAAAAAAAAAAAGAAAAGAAAAGAAAAGGAGGAGGGTTAAATGTTTGATATGGATAATGATATACTATACAAATGTTACAGACATATTAAAACTTGCAAATTCAATTTGGGAAAAAAATTAAACCATTTTAATTAAGCTCTTTCATTCTTCTGACATATGAGAGAAGAAAAAGAGAAGAGCACTGACATGCATAGGTTTTAGGTCAACAACAGGTTATAAATGAAGGTAGTTGTGATGACTTCTTGAGCTGAACTTTCATGGCCAATGGCTGTGAGAAACTGTAGAAGCTCGTGATGTCAGATGGAAGAGAAGGGACTGATTGCCAGGTTAGATTTTTGATGCAGCACAAGCATGAAATTGTGGTACAATGCACCGGCCATTAGCCACCAGCCTTCCCCTTTGATAAGACATGGGTGGGAGTGACTAAGGGGAAATGAAAAAGAAACAATCAACCAATGCTAGAAAGGCCATTACGTGACTTAGAAGCGGGTAACAAAGAGGTGCTGGTGTTACCAAGAAACGTGCCCATAGGTATCATTAGGTTCCGTTAGGATTGGTTCACCGTGGAAACAGCATTAGAGACAGGTGGCGGAGGGGACAGGAGAAACGGGTAACTTGAATGACATTCAAAGCATTCTTTAAAAGTGTGTTCAAAGGATGGAAAATCAAAGATGTTTGAAAGAGAAAAGTCAACAAATGGAAAAGCTGTAACCCATTACATTTTAGTTTAGTTTTATTGGGGCATGAAATGAACTTTCATGATGTTCTAAAAACAACAACTTAACTGCATAAAACTGAACAAGTGAATTGGCATTAAATCCATACCATATTTTTAAAAATCTCTTTTTGATATAATAATAGTAACTGGTTAGTTAGGTCATAGTCCTCTTCCTCAAATCATGCACAGTTAAAGAAATATTTCTAAAAATTTCTAATTGCTCCTACATTCTAGCAAAACTATACATCGACATGCTGGTTGATTTATGACTTTCTAGTAACCTTTACTCTCAAATGGCTTCACCAAATTATTTATTTACTTGGTCTATGCTGAGGTAACCTCCTGGCTGGGCTGACTGCCGTCCTTTCAGCTCAAAGTGTAAAGGATTGAGTCCCCTCACTAAGACGTTTCTTGAGTTCCTGTGAGAGCTGTGGGTTCTCATGAGTCTCAGGTTCAATTTTGAAATGTCTCTCTTTTGGATTGCTTGAGCCTGGGATGTCTAGGCTGCAGTGAGCTGTGATTGCACCACTGCACTCCACTCTGGGAAACAGAGGGAGACCTTGTCCAAAACAAACAACAAACAAACAAACACCCAAAACAAACAAAAACTGTCTCTCCTTCCTCACCATTTCTCTTTGGAGAAAAGAGAAAATCTTTGACAATTTCTGACCCACTGAAAAATGTGAAGTGGCAAAGTTCCATACCTTTGCCAAAGGCTTCTAATTTCAAGCCTTCTTCAGGTCCACGGCGCTGCTTCACCTCACTCTTGTCTTTCCTGCCCAGTTTCCTCTCTTAGATTACAAACTTAATCAACTAAATGCCCCCCCACCAATAGCAGAGTTTTTATAAGATCTGTATCAAGTCATTAGTTTTCCCATTAAGCATCGGTGTTCCCCCAGCCCCAGCATGTACGATGCACACAGAATCTGGAATCACAGGAGACTGCTGAGACAATGCTAGGTGTCTGACACCTTTTAACTATAAGTGCGAGATGATGTTGTTGAACATGAAAGGCTGTGGAACATGCAACCAGGAATCAGCATGTCCTCATTGAAAACTTTTACACCATTTCTACCAAAAAAGATTAAATTCGAATTGAAAGTTACTTAGCTCACTCATCACTTCCTGAGTTTTACGTGCAACAATAAAATGAAGGCCTACTGGTTACCGGCTGCCTAGAAGGGAAAGCAAGTGAAAGCTCTTTGGCTCTTCTTTGGGTAGATGTAATTCTACCCCACCCCTATCCCTTTGTGAACATTTACAAAACCCTCTGGCACGCAAGTATTTTTCTTTCCCTCCTTCTGCATTTTTTTCCCACGAGGTCCAAAGTCCCAGGGAGGGAGCTGCTGGGCATGGGGGGATGAGGTGAGAACAGGGTAGGGAACCACACCTGCTCTCCAATTGTGCTGGTGTCTTGGACAGGGGTGACAGATGGTGGACTTGTGCCAATGTTTCTAGCTTCTGTGACCAACTGTCCAGAAAGGCACTAGATATGAGCCCCAATTCTTGTACTTTTTGGCTGAGAGAATGCTTTGAAGCCTTTTCAACCATCATGCTTCTGTGCATTCCCTGAGGTATTTAGATCCCGTGCTTCGATAAATTAGTGGTTGCAACTGAGCACATAATTCCTTATATCCACTTAGAATGTTTATGAGATAATTAGTTCTCAAT